TTCCTTAATCTTACTTCATGTTAACAGAAATACACATATTTGCACTGAAATCGATAAGTTTCTCAACATGTGTGATGAAAGCAGAGAAAGCCATATCATTCACATCAACGTATCTTATCGATGCTATATTGGAGAAAATTGAAACGCCTGGTTTTGAAAGAAAATCGACGAGTTGGAGGCCCCAAACTCGTCGAGTAGAGATGAATTGGACCGCGGATTTTGGAAACCTACTCGACGAGTTAGGGAGCCTCAACTCGATGAGTAGGCTGGCAAGAATGAAACCCTAATTCCGGGGTTTTGCACCCTATTTAAACACCTTAACCCCAAGGTGTTGGCCTCAAATCTAGCTTCCACTGCCCAAAACCCTAATCTCGAAACCCTAAGACATTCTTGGTGATTGTGAGCAAATCTTGTGCTTTCTTGGTGAGTTTGAAGAAGGAGAAGCTTGAAGGAGGAGCAAGAGCGTGTGGGAGGAGAGTAGATTCGGAAGTTGAGCTTCATTTCTGAGTCATCTGAGGTATAAAGCTTCAACCTTGTCTATGTCATTCTTAGATATAGTTTTAGGATGTTTAGCTTCATGTTTTGGTCCAAAGAAATTGATGGTTGGGATTTGGACGTCCCACTTGGATAAACCCTTCAGATCTAGGGTCTTGAGGGGACTTCATGGCATAAAGGTGCCAACTTTATGGCCATGGAAGTCCCATGGAACTTTTAGACCATCTTTTTGGTCTTTTGAGCCCTATTAGGCCATGCATGAAAGTAAAGATGGAAACTTTACGTGACCAAATTGACCTTAGAGTCCAGATCTATGACCTCATGGTCTATATTGAAGTTTTGATGGCTTTTGGAGTTGGATCTAAGCCCGTTTAGGTTAGAGTTTGAGTTTTATGTGTTGGGGGAGGTCCTTAATGGGTAAAGTTGGAAACTTTACCCTTCTAGACGTATTTCCAGCTTGGATCCAGAAGATGAGGCCTTAGTTCGAAGAATAATAGCTTAATGAGTTAAGAAGGGGCTAACAGACTGAGGAACTCGACGAGTTCAAGGATGTACTCGACGAGTTGACTTGAAAACTCCCGATTCTATTGATAAGGAAGAACTCGACAAGTTCATGGAATAACTCGATGAGTTGGATCGCGATTTCATGATTTTATGATTTATGGAACTTGGCGAGTTAAAGGGCCAACTCGGCGAGTTGAGTCAACTTGGAATGTTGACTTTGACTTTGACCAGGGTGTTGACTTTCACTTAGACTTTGACCAAAGTTGACCCTTAAAGGGTTATGAGTATGAAAGGGTAATTACGGAAATATTTTTTGTGTAGGGGTTTGAGTTGGGTTGATTTCAGAGCCGGGGATTGTTCAGCTACTTTACAGCATTCGAGGTGAGTTACCTTCCCGATAGCAGTGGGTCTAAGGCACCAAGGCCGGCCCACTAATAGTTGTTTATAATAGAGATGATTGTCTTTGTGATAATTGTCTGGTATGCCACTATCTGTAGAGATTTATGTGATTGTATGCTATGTGTTATGTGGTAGTGGTAGGAGGGGTGGAATAGATCCCGTAGCCGGTTGAGATAAACTGGAGGGTAGGTCGGGCACCCAGATATGTCTGACAGTATGTTATGATATGTTATTATGTGGTAGTAATAGGGGGTGAGATAGACCCCGTAACCACTTGAAATAAACCGGAGGGTAGGTTGGGCACCCAGATATGCCTAACAGGGTAGGTCGAGTACCCAGATATGCTTGGCATGGGTAGGTCGGGCACCCTAGATATGCCTGACAAGGTAGGTCGAGAACCCAGATATGCTTGACATGGGTAGGTCGGCCACCCCAGATATGCCTGACAGGGTAGGTCGGGCACCCAGATATTGTCACACCCCCAAACCGGACGGCGGAAACGTTTGGGGGTGGATGACGTCATGTACAGTATCACAACAATTTCATAATAGTAATCAAAGCAAACACAACCATTAAGTTGATGGAATATAGAATTTACATCTGTTTAATACATAGTTTGTATGACATCAAAAATGTATAACAAAAGTATAAAAGACATGACTCTAAAAGCTCAGTCTTCTCAAAAACTGCGGGTGTACCTATTTACCGGTTTCCTGAGAATACAAGTGGTTTTGAAAGTGTATCAACATTTAAGTTGGTGAGTTCATAAGTATGTTTTTGTAATGAAAACTTGTCTTTGATCTTTGAAATATGTTCATTTGTTCCTCAAGAAAATCCAATATTTTCTTTAGTAATGAAAAGTAGTCTTAGGCCTTAAGACCAAAATATACGTTTGTTACTATATTCTGTAGTTGTGTATGAAAGTGTTAGTATGAAGGCCTGGTTACCACCAGCTGTATTGTATAGTGTTGTTTGGTATGAAAACCTTTGTATGAAAACCCTTGGATACCACCAGTAATGTATAGTCTTGTTTTGTATGAAAACCCTGGATACCACCAGTAATGTATAGTAGTTTTATTACTTAAAATAAAACCATGTGTTTGTATTCCATGGAATCCTCCAGTTGTATTGTATAGTAGTTCTATTGATTAAAATAAAACTATTTGAATAATTGAAATCCCGTAAACAAATGGTTAGTTTATACTATTGTGAGTTTCGTATAACCATGCTTGATATGACCTAGTGACCTCTACGACGTTCTTCAGGCGTCGGAATGTTATGACATTTGTCACCTCAGGCATGCCTGCCTAACTATAGCTAGCAGTTCAGGTGTGGGATTGTCAGTCCCGTATAGATCTATACAAAAATCTCACGCTCTCCCTCCAGGAGACTCTGGTTATATTGTAGTAGGATTTAGTTCCGCACCCCGAAGGGGTACAATTGAATAGTGTCTCACAACCCTGTATTAACTGGTTTACGTGTAGTGTTGTATTGTTCTCTTGTACTTGAAAATGTTCTTATAACCTTGTAGTAATGTACTTTGCAATGTAAAATAATTATACTTGAATAATTATTTAGTAATGCATCCCTTATCCCCGGGAAATAGTATAGTGATCCATAAACTATATCTACCATAGCTTATTTGTTTGTTTCTGAAATATGTTCTTGAACTTGTAAAATAATATAATGTATCCCAAACTATACCTATTATAGTTTGTATGTATGTTCTTGTTCTGTAATGAATTCTGTAAAAGTAATGTAATGTTACCAAACTATATCAATTATAGTTTGTCTGTATGTTATGTATTGTACTGAAAACTTTGCAATTACGGTTGTATGTTGAAAACTGCCCTTATGCTCAGCATGTTACAAAAAGGGATAAAAATATCTGAATATTTTTATAAAATGTATTGATTTCTCGGGTTGTATCAATTGCAAAAGTTTTTAATCTGTTTGAAATCGTTTGTATAGAAACACAAAAAAAAAATCCTTGTGTTTTACTTGTATTCCCCCCCCCCCCCCCCCCCCCCCGTGAAAACATTAAAAACAGTGAAAATGTAGGGGTATGAACTCACAGATAATGTGTGTTTGCAGCTGGATAGCGGACTAAAAAGATGACCCTCGAGTTGTTGTATGTGGAATTAACGGAATCCTAATGATGATTAAACACATAATTGTATTTAAATTAGCGAAACCATTAATTTAAAGTGTTAGAAAATACTTGTCTTTATGATAGGAATAGTTACCGAAAATGGTGTAAATGTCAAAGGGGTTTTCAGTTCCAAGGGTGTTTTCGGCCGAAAACTGGTTTGCGGCCGAAAACAGGTGTTCGGTTCTGCTGGTGTTTTCGGCTCGTTGAAGATATGAAGGCTGTTCTTGGTGTTCTTTGAGGAAAATATGAAGATTCAAAGGATTCCCTTTGAAGATATGGACGCTTGCGGATGGTCCTTGGGAGAGAATTGAGAGAGTTTTCGGGTGGAAAGGTGAAGAAATGATCAAGTCTTCAGGTGGAAACCTTTATAGCGGTTGGGTTTTTGGCCGAAAACCCTCGGGCCGAAATCATTAAAACAAGTTGGTCGATAAGGAATGAAGACTTTTGCTGTGTTTTTGTTTTTCATCATACTTGATGTTTTGGATGTATTGTTATAAACAAATACAATGATGTAAAACTATGATGGTTGATATGTTTTATGTATGGTGATGATGTTGTCTTTGATTCATTTATATACACTGTGATGATGTTACAAGATGAAGTCACACGCCCCCGGACGTTTTCGCCGTCTGGTTCGGGGGTGTGACAGATATGTCTGGCAGTATGTAATTATGTGGTATTATGGGGGAACTCACTAAGCTTCGTGCTTACGGTTTTCAGTTTTGGTTTCAGGTACTTCTTCTTCGAAAGGAAAGGAGTCGGCATGAGCGCAACGCATCACACTATGATTTTCTGCACATGAGATCTTTGAAAGTTGTACTCTGATGATGTTTTATTATGACATGTTTTGGGTATTGAGATATTGGTTTTGATTATGATATGAGATGATACTATTGATGTTTTCAGACTACTGTTTTTTTATAAATACGTAATTAAAACGAAATTATTGGTCTTAAATTTTGAGATGTTACAAAAATACAATAACTGATTAGGCAAAAAGTCCTATTGTGGTGTACACACATGATTTGAAAGCTTGATGTTCTTCCATGGCTTTCGATTGTCAAAAGGGTTTCGAGAGAACAAGGGTAGAAGAGTGTGAATAATTGAGCCTTAAATTGATGTTCTTGGTAAAATGAGAGGTAGAAAAGGATAATTCCTTGTAATAACCACGTAATTAATTTTGCATTTTCTTAAAATCCTTAAATACCTTTGATGATTGGTTCGATCATAATGAAATATGTACAAGATAACAAGTTAAAGGAATAAATATGAAAAAAAATATATATAACTCGAAAATTCTTTTATGTTTTTATTCTAAGTCGTTTTCCTTGTGGTACAAAGTTTAAAGATGGGCAATATGCTAAGAAAAAAATTATAATATTTTACATTTTGATTCACTTCACCTATAAAGTGTATTTGGTTGAGAAAAATATACCCAAATTTTTTATAAAGAATATATGTGAAGCCGAATGGCAACCCCAATACCCCACCGCCCACAACTATCCGATTACACAAAACATGTGTCTTCTACCACTCAGGATCTTTATACTTGATACAAGCTACAAGTGGAGGTCTCTCCTTCTCCCTCCCTAACCATTTTGGATTTCAGCACAAAGAACCAGACACTCACGCACGCTCTTATTTATCTTTCATGCTCTCACCAACACCTAATTCTCACCACCCACAACTTCTTCACAACCACTTCTCATTTTCGATACTTTTTCTCTTTAGCGTTTCAATTATTGAACTCGGTATTTTGTTTCCTCATCTCCATCGTTGTTAACCCTGTTTCGTATCGTCAAAAAAATGGGTCTTTTTTTATTCTAAGAGATGGATATTGAGGCCAAACCCCGAAATTCTGATCCAATTAAGGTATGAAAAGTGTAAAACAATCGATTATAAGCAAAAACTTCGAAGTTTTTTTTTTCGTAATAGTTCGATTCTGGTTTTTTCATTGTGTTGCAGAAAGAATCATGGAGGACTGTGATGACTTTAGCTTATCAAAGTTTAGGGGTTGTTTATGGCGATTTAAGCACCTCTCCTTTGTACGTTTACAAAAGTGCGTTTGCAGAAGACATTCAACATTCAGAATCAAATGAAGAAATATTTGGGGTTTTATCTTTCGTGTTCTGGACATTAACTCTAATCCCACTTCTGAAATACGTTTTCATAGTTCTTCGAGCTGACGATAATGGCGAAGGAGGGACTTTTGCTCTGTACACATTGTTATGTCGCCATGCTCGTGTAAGCACTTTGCCCAATGGTCAGCTTGCAGATGAAGAGCTTTACGAGTATAAAAAAGACGAAATTACTTCTGGTTCGAGGGATATTGGTTTGAGTTTGAAATCGACGCTCGAAAAACACAAAATTTTGCAGAAAGCTTTGCTTGTTTTGGCTTTGCTTGGTACTTGTATGGTCATCGGCGACGGCGTTCTCACTCCGGCGATCTCCGGTAACGATCATGAAATTCCAATTTTTCCCCTTTTCGTATTGGGTTTTGCAAAAAGATTAAAACCTTTTTTTCGTTTGCGATTTTTTGCAGTTTTCTCTGCTGTTTCTGGGCTTGAGCTTTCTATGTCGAAAGAACACCATCAATGTAAGTTTCCATTTCAACTTAATTTCTACCCTAATTTGTTCAATTGAATGCGAATTCTTGAATTTGTTTACTTTTGAGCATTTAATTGTTCTTGACTGGTTTTTGGAATTGAATTTGTGGCCATGATGAGCTACAGTAAGGTGCCCCTCCATTTTTGGAGTTAAAGAGGATAAAAGAATATTATTATATAAAAGATTAATATTTTTTTTTTGCATGAAAATAGGAATTATAATCAATTGGGAATTCAAGAAACCTAAACAATTTGGATCCCAAAATTAGTATTAGATTATAGAAAAAAGAAATCACCAGGAGCCATTTTGGTCAAAGATTTTATAATTGATTGATATGTTTGAAAATTATAATATAAATTCATAAAGTAAAGGAACTTTCGTCACACACTCCAAAAAAATTATAATCTAGTTGTGTAGATTTTAGTGAAATTTGTGAATTTCTAATTCTTCGAATTCTTGAAAAAAAAAAAATTTTATACCGTCAAGGGTTTTTGCTATTTTTGGCTATTGAGTTTCTTGGTTCTTTGAAAAATTGAAACAATTTGGATTCCGAAAACACCCCTACATTATCTTGAAAATCTATCATTTCTAGTTTATGAATAGGAAAAACGAGAATCCATTTGGGTAAAAAAAATCGGGTTTGAGTTCTTGATAGCTTTAAGGGTTTTAGCTAGTTTTGGGATTTTGGCCATTGAATTTGTGGGTTTTTCAAAAATCCGAAATAATTTGGATTTTCCGAAAATACCCTTAGATATCTTGAAAATCTATTAATAGGAAAACAAGTTTCAATTCGGGTGGAATTGTTGTTCTTGAATTGTTCGTAGCTTTAAGGGTTTTAGACTTTTAGCTATTAAGTTTGTCGTTTCTTTAAAAACCCAAAACAAATTTGTATTCCAAAACTACCCAAAACAAATTTTTATTCCAAAGCTACCCATAACAATTTAAATTCCAAAACTACCCTTACCCATGAACAAGAACAACACAAGAAGCCAAGTTGAACACGATAAAAAATCTTGAAATGCTTTGTGAAGTCATTTTATGGCTGATATTCTTCGTGCCCATTTCAAAAGAATAGTGAACAAATGTTGACAAGATCATGATTAGGAAATAAATGCTTGGTTTTATTCTATAATTATTCAGATTCTTGACTACTTTGATATCTATACAAATATTATTCTTTCAAACGTGCTGTTGGTGGACAAAGAGAGGGTAACCAAATTTATATTTTAAAAAAATAAATTATTTTGAGGGACCTTTCGAGATAAAGTTTCTATCGTTGTCTACAATTCAATCACCATCAACTACATAAACTATAGTTGTCTTATAAAATTATTGAGTTTTAGGTCAAGAATGCAAGTTAAACATGATCAATTATCTTCACCATAAAGTTTCTTTAAAAAGTAATATAGTAGCATGAAATATAATAAAAAAACAATTAATTGGTTTTTTAACGTAAGTTAGGTCAGATTATTGCAAAAAATACGTGATGGATTTGCTTTTTATCGAGTCGTTTTCTTGCTTACTTTAACATTTCCACTAACTTATGAATATGATTTCCCACTTTAAAATCATTTTCATTTGATAAGTTATCGCGTTTGTTTGGGAATAGGTTGACAGGGATTGTTGGTGTTGGTTTTTTCTTTTTAATGTTTTTTTGATGTAAGATTGAAGTGGGTTCTAGCAAATGAAAAAGAGACGCACTTTTGACGAAAAAATATTATGTCGGAATAAAAGTAAATAGGACAACCAAAAATTCAAACGTTAAATTATGATTAAAATGCTAAAAGTGTAGATAGGATCAAATTTTGATTAAAGGGTTATGTGCAAGAAATAGTAAAGTACTTTATTGATTTGTTTAGTATATCATCCTATTTTCATTTATTCTTATTAAAATTTTGTAGAACGGAAAATTATAGTGATGTTGTCCGATTACAAAACAATTTTCATTGGTATAGTGCGATAGATCTTTCAAACTATAATGTTTTAGTAAGAAAAAGTTCGAAGTATAATGCTATAATTGGATAGAGTTTTCAGAGTACAAAATTGAAAACGTATACTATGCAAGAAATAGCAATGTAAGTATGTTGATGTTTTTTTTTTTGCATTAATCCCTTTATTAAAAACTAAATATAAGAATAAAAAAGGCTAAATCCAAGAAATAACAATGTATTTTCAATTTTTTGTATGTTATAACATCCTACTTTAATTCTATCTCTTACAACATGTTACTTTCTATTCTTTTCATTGAAGGTTTTCTACTCTAACAAATTTACCCAATTGTAGCATTATACTTTCAACTCTTTTTAATAAGACATACCTTGTATAATTTATCCAATTATAGCAATGATAATTTTTTTGTGTGTGGAAGACATTCCTGTAATTAGGTAAATTTTTCAAAGTGAAAAATTGTAATCGGAAGAAATAAAAATAGGATGTTATGATTAACAATCAATGAAAGTAATTTCTAATTTCTTAAAATCTTTAGATTTTTGGAAAAAACGAAATCAAAACGACCATTTATATTGGGCTTTTTCAGTTAGCTATCTAATTGGCCACTGTGTACTGAGTTACATCTCACATGATAATTGCAGATGTAGAAGTCCCGATTACTTGCATCATACTCGTACTCTTATTTTGTCTCCAACATTACGGGACCCACCGTGTAGGGTTCTTATTTGCACCGATTGTGGTAACGTGGCTCTTGTGCATTAGCACAATTGGAGTTTACAACATTTTTCATTGGAATCCGCAAGTTTTCCAAGCACTTTCGCCTTATTACATGTACAAGTTTCTCAAGAAAACAAAAAAAGGCGGATGGATGTCATTGGGCGGGATTTTGTTGTGTATAACAGGTATTCGATAAACCGTTTTTTTTGGTGAGTTGACTTTTCTTGACTTCTAAATTGACTTGTGTTGACTTTTTTCCAACTTATAGGCTCTGAGGCTATGTATGCTGATCTCGGACATTTTTCACAGTTATCAATCAAGGTAAAATCATTCAAACTAATAGTTGATTCATATGTTAGTAAATTACACTTTTGGCCCCTCTACTATATTGACTGTTTGGATCTGGTACTTGGTCCATTGTTTCTTATCGTTTATCGTTTTCCTCCGTTACCGTTTAAGTTAACAGTCATTTCATTATACAATTTTACCCCTATCTCCTTTCAAAACCCTAAAATCAAACCAAACTACCAAATACCAATCCAACACCCTTTTATATTTTCTCAAAAACAGGCGGGTCGGGTTGCCCCACCAACATTTTTTTAATATTTTTTAAAATACATTGCTAATAATTAATACATAAAATATGAATATTTTTGTCTTTTTCGTAGATCTTCCTCATATCCAATCTTCCATACAAGTGTCCATTTTGCCTCCCCTATTAAAAACCCTAAAATTAAACCTAATCAAAAATCCAAATTCAATTTTGATCACAAAAAATCATTTTTTAATAAAATAATTTAGGTACACAACTTAGAATTTACCATTTAATAATTGTTACCTAATTTCTTTTATTTTACATTTTTACCCATTTATGCAGATGGCTTTCACCTTCGTGGTTTATCCTTCCTTGATTCTCGCATATATGGGACAAGCTGCGTATCTCTCCAAACATCACATCCTCGAAACCGATTATCGAATCGGATTCTACGTATCTGTTCCCGGTAGGTCTAAATTGACCTAATTTTCTACGAACTTGATCTAATTTTGTGTTTATTACTGTAATAAAAAACCAATTAAGATTGATCTGTATTCCGATTCTGTGCGAAATTGATCTAATTTTGTATCTATTATTACTATACCAGAGAAAATAAGATGGCCAGTTCTTGGAATCGCGATACTTGCTGCAGTAGTCGGAAGCCAAGCCATAATCACCGGGACTTTTTCTATCATCAAACAGTGTTCTGCATTGGGTTGCTTTCCGAGAGTAAAGATTATCCACACGTCACCTACTAATAAACATGGTCAAATCTACATCCCTGAGATCAATTGGACGTTGATGCTGCTATGTTTAGCAGTCACAATTGGTTTTCGCGATACAAAACATATAAGCAATGCAGCAGGTATGTACCTATTCTCACAATAGCTTAATTTAGTTGTTGTTTTCAGGGTGTATTTTGCCCAATTCAACATCCTCAAAGGACCTTGAGTGTAAATATGGGCAAAACAGTTCAACACTGAATACACTGAAACCGGTTAAACCGGACTAAAACTACTGAAACCGGTTCCATTTTAGGGATAACCCTCTTTCATACTAAACAAGTTTTATAATATTATTTCATAGTATGGAAATAAATGTAAAAAATTGTCATATTTATAAACTACAAACATTATATCCCTGGTACGGACTTTTTAGAATACTAAGATTTTGTTTGTGGTTTGTAATTGCAAGTTATATAAAGATAATATTTTATTGCTTTTTTTAAAGTTTGTTGTCATACTAATCTTATAAAAATGTTATATAAGAAATGATTACGATTTTAATTTTTTGTAAATTAAATTCAGCATGATCAAAAAGACGAATGAAAATCAAAATATAGTTAGCATACCTAATGTTTACGATTTTTTACAGGTTTGGCGGTTATTACGGTTATGTTGGTAACCACGTGCCTAATGTCACTTGTAATGGTTCTATGTTGGCGAAAAAGCATCTTCTTAGCACTCGCGTTTATGTTTTTCTTCGGTTCGATAGAAATCCTCTACTTCTCGGCATCCCTAATAAAATTTCGCGAAGGTGCGTGGGTCCCGGTGGCCCTCTCAATCATCTTTCTAGTCATTATGTTCGTATGGCACTACGGGACGATAAAAAAATACGAATTCGATGTCCAAAACAAAGTCTCAATCAATTGGCTCTTAAGCCTCGGGCCCACTCTCGGTATCATGCGGGTCCGCGGAATTGGGCTCATTCACACTGAGCTGGTTTCCGGGATCCCTGCAATTTTCTCACATTTTGTAACAAACCTCCCAGCTTTTCACCAAGTTGTGGTGTTCCTCTGTGTGAAATCGGTCCCTGTGCCTCACGTAAGGCCTGAGGAGCGGTTTCTTGTTGGGAGAATTGGGCCGAAAGAGTATCGATTGTATAGGTGTATAGCGAGATATGGGTACCGTGATGTTGACATGGACGATGTGGGATTTGAAAACGATCTTATTTGCTGCATAGCAGAGTTTGTCCGGACCGAACGGTCCGGACAAACCAGTGCCGGTAACAACTCTGTTACCGGCACTAGCGATAATTTGTTATCAGAAGATTCTGATAACGATAGAAAGATGGCGGTTGTTGGAGTGGCTTCGGCGAACTCCGAAGGGAGTATTAGAATGTGTGAGGAGGAAACAGGGTTTTCGCCGGAGATAGCGGTGGTTGTGGCGGCACCACCACCGGTTCCAAGGAAGAGGGTGCGGTTTGTTTTACCGGCGAGTCCCCAAATGGATACGGGAGTGAGAGAAGAGTTGCGGGAACTTATGGAGGCACGTGAAGCGGGTTTAGCTTTTATCCGAGGACATTGTTATGTGAAAGCTAAAAGGGGTTCGAGTTTGATGAAAAGATTTGTGATCAATTTTGGGTATGATTTTTTAAGAAGAAATTCTCGAGGTCCGGGTAATGCTTTGAGTTTTCCTCAAGCGTCTACGTTAGAGGTTGGAATGGTGTATCAAGTTTAATTCTGAGGGTATTATGGTAAATTTGGTTTTGAGATACATAATACATTTGACGATGAAGGCCGTTCATTGTTGTGTCTAACACATGGGCTTATTTTGTAAGCCCATGGGCTATAAGCGTTAAACATTATTCATCATGAAAGATACGGGGGAAAACACGAAATATAAAAGTGCATGTAATGAAGTGTGATTTTTGTTGTATATATGATAAGGTATATGTGGGTTAGACCTAAAAGATGGATTGGATTAAAGGGATTATAATAAAAAAAAATAAACTAAAAATGGCACTCTAATAATTTAAATAAAAATCCTTAGCTAAATGTTTGAAACTGCTTTTAGTAAAAAGAAAATGAATTATTATTTCATTAATATATTTGTGAGTATACCTAATATTATAACTATTAATGAAATCAAAGGATCAAATTATAAATATATGTTCGTGGTTAACATCACTATCTAAAGGTCTAAACAAAAAATCGAAGATACTCTAGTTTGACTTAAGTGTTGATTATGTAATATCAAGTATCTCGGAATTTATTTTGGTAGACATTATCTTCATTTATAAATAACGTTAAAGAAATTATTGACAAAGACCATGATTTTTCTTGAGAATAAGTTAATAAATACTAGTTGAACTCTGATTTAAAAAAATAATAATAATAATAAATAAAAATAAAAAATAAAAAAAATTAGAGGCAGTCAATAAAATATGTTTAAAGAACACAGTTGTATGGCTAATATAGAGAAAAAGAAAATTGTTTAAGATCTTATAAAAAGGAGGCGAACCTTAAGATATGTAAACTTTTATAGAATACTTCAAAATACCATTGGAGTTTTGAAGGGCCAATTTGTAAATTTGAGAATCAGGGGTTGAGGTCCAAAGTAAAATTAGTAAAAGAGAGTATCTTCTATGAAAGTCACTTTGAGTTTATCTGATGTATTGAAGATCAATATTTGTTTGACCCATTTTGTTAAAAATCTTGCTTTCATGTAGATTATAAATAGATAGATGTAAATGAGCATTGTGGAGGAGTAATAAATACATGAAAATGTTATATAAAGTTCTCAAAAGGTGTATGTGTTGAGAGACTATATTACGGGTGAGATTTTCCATCGTAGAAATTATATAAGGGAGAAATTTATATGAGTTGTTTGGAGTGCGAAGTGAAAATAGTAGATAAATGTTTGTTGAAAGAGAATGCATATATTGGTGTTTCCAAACACATTTTGAGTTTTGAAGGGCCAATTTGTGAACTTTAGATTCAAGGGTTGAGTTTGAAAGTGAAGTTGTAGAGTTTGCAAATGGGAGCCTCTTTTGTGAAAGTCATTTTGATTTTATTGCTAAAGTTTTTGTATTTGAGGTAAATATTCATTTGACCTATTATGTTACAAATCTTGCTTTTATGAATGTTATAAGTAGATGGAAGACTTATAAAATACATGAAAGATGTTTCATTTAAGTGCTCAAAAGGTGTATATGTGAGAGATATTATTCGGGGATAATGACTTGATAGGGTAAGATACTTTTTGAAATGTACACATTTAGTTCTTATTTTTTTTTTGTAAAATAAACCCTTATACTTTATTAATATGTACACATTAGGCCATTTTCACCGGATTCTACAGGTTTTGCTGACGTGGAAGGGTTTATTTTACAAAAAAAAAAGAATAAGGACTAAATGTGTACATTTCAAAAAGTATTTTACCCTATCAAGTCATTATCCCATATTATTCGGTAGCGGCCATGAGAGTTTTAATAGTAAAAATTATGTTGGCAATAAAATATTGTCATCAATATATTTTTTTTTATCCAACTTTGTCATTTACAAATGGCAAATCCCCATGGAGCCAATTCAACTTGAAACATTCCGTGTTTTCAGCTGTGTCCGAAAAAATATAAATTAATTTATACCAAATACAAACTCTGGTTACCATGTATTTGGTTATGTCGGATTTACAGGTAACTTTTTGTATGACTGTCTATACAATGTATTTAATTTTATTTAGTTTATTATATTATCATATCAATATTTTATTTTATATACAACTTTGTTATTTTTTGTAGGACAAATTTTACAAATATCACAAAGTTTCCATGAAAATTCGATTTTGACACTACGTTACTTTTTGTCTCAATTCGGACATTCTATTTTCAATTTATTTCAATGTTGACCATTTACCGATCACCCGGTTGTCGGATGTGGTAGAAATCTTTGGTGATGTGGCAACTAACATAACATTGTAATCTGACACTCTTTGATGACATCACATTCCGGGTGTCAAAGATGAAAAAAAAAACCCTAACATATAGTGACTTTTGTGGTAGTTATCCAAAATTCAATGACTTTTATGTAATTTCATACTATCATAAAAATAATGAAAATTCCAACACTTGTAGACATTATTTGTGGCCCATCTGCCATCGAGAGCATTGGTGGTAATAAGTATATTTTAGTTATAGTTGATGATTTTTCAAGATTTACTTGGGTTTACTTTCTTAGACAGAAATCAGATGCGACTTCAAAGCTAAAGGATTTCATCAAGCAGATCGAGCTTCAATTGCGAAAGCCAGTTCGGAAAGTTCGCAGTGATAACGGTTCTGAATTCAAAAATCAAGTGTTTGAAGAATTCTTAACTGACAAGGGAGTTTCTCACAACTTCTCTTCTCCTTACACTCCTCAGCAGAACGGTGTCGTTGAAAGACGAAACCCATCTCTTTGAGAAGCTACAAGGACCATGTTATCTTTTGCGAACCTTTCACTTTATTTCTGGGCTGATGCTATCGGAACTGCTTGTTTCACTCAGATTCGCTCTCTAATCAATAAGAGATTCCTTATCACACCTTATGAGATTCTGAATAAACGAAAACCTAACGTTAAGTTCTTTCATGTCTTTGGTTCCATGTGTTTCATATTCAATTCCAAAGAGCAACGGAACAAATTTGATATGAAAGTAGACGAAGGAATCTTCTTGGGGTACTCTCTTACTTCTAAGGCATATAGGGTTCTGAACAAAAAGTCGAAAAAGGTAGAAGAAACCTATTATGTCACCTTTGACAATAATTATCTAAAGAAGTATCAGAAGACTGATTGCCAAGCTGAGGAAATCTTTCCTTCAACAAATCTGATGACAATTCCTCTTTCAAATCTTTATGAGGAATTCATGAATTTGTTTGATGAGCCCGCAAAGGCGATTTCTTCAGAATCAAATGCACCAGATAATAAGGAAGATGAATTGAATAAAATCATTGATGATACTGCCAAAGATCTTGGAAATGAGCCACCTATTCTGAAGGATTCTGAAATTCCACCTTCGCCACAAGCTTCTAATGCTCCGGTTCAGGGGGAGGGTTCTACTTCAATCTTCACAACCGATACACCTGTTCATGGGGAGGATTCAAATCCCGAAGTCAACATTGATATTCCAATCCAGGGGGAGAATCCAATCCCGAACGTAGAGTCACATGCAAACTTCCAGGGGGAGAACGAGAATGAAAATAATGGCTCAGATGTTCAATCGGAATTTGAAGATGTAAATGTTGCATTGGACCCAACCTACGATCCGAACTATCCACCATTGGCCAAATGGACCAAAGCTCATCCTAAATCTCAAGTTATCGGAGCAGCAACTTCAGGAGTGCAAGCTATGTAGGAAGAGCTTAAGGAATTCGAACGTAACAAAGTATGGAGATTGATTTCAACTCCGAATGATGCATCTGTGGTTGGATTAAAATGGGTATTTCGGAATAAGCTCGACAAAGAAGGCAATGTGATTCGGAACAAAGCACAGTTGGTTGTAAAAGGGTATTGCCAAGAGGAAGGCATAGACTATGAAGAAACATTCATACCAGTTGCAAGGCTAAAATATGTTCGGATTTTCCTTGCCTATGCAGCACACAAGAATTTCAAAGTCTATCAAATTGACGTAAAATATGCGTTTCTAAATGGTGAATTAGAGCAAACAGTCTATGTGGAACAACCATTAGGTTTCGTAAATGAGAAGTATCTGAATCACTGCTACATCTTGGATAAGGCTGTGTATGGTTTAAAAAAAGCACCACGTGCATGGTATGAAACCCTTACTCATTTCTTAAAGCACTCTAAGTTTAAACAAGGGTCTTTCGATCCAACCTTCTTTCGCAAGAAAGATGGTGACCATCTAATGATTGTCCAAATTTATGTTGATGATATCATTTTCGGATCCACTAATCATAGATTAAGAAATGAATTCTGAAAACTGATGGAAACTAAATTTGAGATGAGCTCAATGGGTCCTATTAAATTTTTCCTTGGTTTAAATATTAGACAGAGTTCAGAGGGTATCTTCATCAACCAGGAAGCCTACATAATGTCCTTGCTTGTCAAATACGGAATGGTGGGAGATTCAAAGGTCAAGGTTCCAATGGTGTTTAGAATGAAGTCCACTCCATCCTTGGACAAACCTGCAGCTGATATAACTCTTTTATCGATAAATGATTGGTTCTTTAATGTACCTAACAACTAGTCGTCCAGATATTATGTTGTATGTTTCCTATTGTGCAAGGTTTCAGGAAAATCCTCGTGAGCCCCATATGACTGATGTGAAGAACATCTTCCGATACCTAAAAAGAACAACCTCTCTCGGAATCTGGTACCCTTTCAACTCAGGGTTCTTTGTGAAAGCATTCTCCGATGCTGATCTTGGTGGATGTGGTCTCGATCGTAAAAGCACTTTGGGGGATGTCAGTTTCTAGATGGCAAACTTGTAAGTTGGCAATCAAAGAAGCAGACTTGTGTATCCCTATCAACTGCAGAAGCTGAATACATCGCAACTGCATCATACACTTCTCAAATCAGTTGGATTCAGAATCAACTAAGGGACTATGGGATAAACATGAAGTGGATCCCTCTATACTTCAATTCTGAAAGCGCAATTTGGATATGTCATAATCCAATGCAACATTCTAAGACGAAACACATTGCACTGAGATATCACGTCATCAAGGATTACGTTGAGAATGGAAACATTGAAGTGCATTTTGTTCGATTCTCTAATCAATTGGCTGATATCTTCACGAAGGCCTTACCTGAAGCAACATTCAATCATATTTTGCAAGGTCTCAGAATGATAGAAGTTGAATCAGTTCCGAAATCCCATTCGTAATCAGAAGTTACTATTCGCTTCCGAGCGTTCGCAATCATTCAGATTATACTGTTCACAATCCGAGCTTCGGAACGGTTCGGAGCATACTGTTCATCTGGTTTTTTGGAATGCCT